GGAAAAAAAAAAAAAAAAAAATCATAAAAAGGTAAGAAGAAAAGAGTATGAAGACTGTAGAGAAAAAAATGAAATATACTCAAAAGATAGTTATGGAGTATGCCAAATGATTAAAAAAAATTTTTTTAAGAGCAGCTCAGCTCCTTACCTGCTGACATCAAATATAATTTTGTAGCTGTGACTTCTATTACATGTGAAAGTAAAATTTACAATTTATCAACCTAGAATATAGTACTTCTTCAAATTTAAGAATAAAATCTCTCAATAAAATAGACATAAGCTGCCTGGACAACTACTTTAGTATCGTCTTTAAAGTTAGGTACGTAACACGTTTTTACAACTAACTTACTGTAAAAACAATGGTATGGGTCCATTGTCTAACTGTCCCATACGGAACTACAAATAAAAGGTCAAAAGTTTGCTTTTGAAGAGTGTTTTGAGTTGGTCAAAACATTATTATTCTTAAAACAAATTATTCTTTAAGAGTTCCTATACACTGCAGGATGTTACCTGAACACTATTTACTTGGCAGAAATGCTTGATGACATCCAAGAGAGGGGCCAGCATGGCAGCTTTGCCTTCAGACACACCATCAATCTGTTTTACATTTTCAACTGTAGTTGGTCTGTCATTTAAAAACAAAAAGTTAAAAAATCACTGAAACAGTATCACTCTAGCAATTCGGCTCCATTCTTAGTCTTCATAAATACATTTTCTCCACAATCAAAAATAATGCATAATCATGTCTTATAATTTCTTTGCCTTCCTCCCCTTAAAGATTTATTGTTTCAACAATTATTGAAAAAAACACCACCACTTCCATCAGCACAAAAACACCACAAAGTACCTGTTGTAAACAAACCATTATCAGAAAGGAACAGGCAAATGCCTAATTGTTCCCCTCTGTTACAGATTTATTTTCATAGAAATGAAAAGAAAAGTGATGAGACTGAGGACAATAAACAGGCCAAGAAACTCTCAGAAGAAAGTCTCATTCATTATTTTTCCTAAAAATGTGCACCAGTAACAGTAAATCTAACCAGGCTTTTAGCTCCGAATTTTTTATTGTGCCTAAAATCTAAGATCATACAATGTCTCCTTTCTAAAAACTCTGTCAATTTAATGATTACTTGTTTTCTTTAAATATCTTCTCTGAATATTAAATTGTGGTCATAGAATATTTATTTTTTGAAAAATTATTGTTGTAAGATGTGAGCACTGTATAATATTATTAGAAAATCTTGCACACAATAACATATTTTGAATGAAATTTAGTAATAGGAACAATTTTCAAAAGGAAGGAAAAAGATAAATACAATTAATAACCCAGCATCATTTTTTGGAATTAATTTCTTGTAAATATTGATCACCTAGTGTTTATCAGGTATTGTGCTAGATTCCAAAGAAGACACACAGAGATAAGGAACTATAACTTTACTCACATAGTTTAAGTTCTAGAAAATATAATGCATGTCCACCACTAATTACAAAGAAAAATAAATAAGGCGCTCAATGATAAGTTTCAGAGAACCATCTTTAGATGGATTCAAAAGAAAGACAAGTCAGCAGGAGGAAACAGTGATAAATCTAAATCTTGAAGGATTTAGGAGGAGTTCTGGGGAACCAAGAAAGCTACAAAGCAGAAAGCAACAGTGTAAATAAATGAAAGATGAAAGGGGGTCCTCAATAATGGCAAACAATCCAGGTAAGATAAGCCATTCTAAATTCTGTGGCTTAGGTAGAAGAGTGGATCTAAGTCCATAAACAGATAGGCTTGGAATTCCACACTGAAGAAGAATGGGAAACCATTTCAGCGGAAGCATAACATGATAAAGGAAGATTAATTTGGTATTCATATATTAATTGAAACAGACAGCAAGATTGAGGAGTAACCAATTAAGAGTCTTTTCCAATAGGTCAAGGGTAAATGGTCAGAGCTAGCTAATACAATACCACTAAGAAGAGTAAAGAGAGCACAGACAGATATACACAAAGAATATTTAAATGAAAACTAAGAGGAAGGAGATATATATAGTATGGGGAAGTGAAACCTATCAGATTTTAAACGTGTGACTAAGAATGTAACACAATTTTTTAAAAGTGAGGAATTCCAGAAAGTTTTAGTGGTTAGATAAAATGCATGTAGAGAGGATGAGTGGATAATGAAATTGATTATATATAACTTCATTGCTAAAACCACAGTTGGTTTTGCTCCTGCAGAAACATGGGCTCAGCAAAGAGGTCTGCATAGCAATGTGGGAAAACTGGGAGTCAGTTCACACATGTGAAAACTGAAACCATGGCCATATTATTAAGTAATGAGATAATTTATAAATCTATTATGTTAAAGGAAAAATAAACCAAAACATACACAAAGAGATAGTTTACCTCATTTTGGCCATATCCAACAGTATCTTGTTAGTTGCCAGAATAGCTGGAGGAACATCCATTATATTGGCATGTCTCTGCCTAGCTTCTACTAATTTGCCATACAACATAGTCTGAACAAAAAACAAAGACCAATTCAGCATTCTTTTAATGTACTTAGAAAAATTCACCCTTTCTTTTTAGACCCTTATATATTATATTTTCCATTGAGATGAAAATAAAATGAATTATACCTCAGTTTCTTAATAATATTTCAAAATATTAAAGAATTTTAAACATGCAAAGTATACTAAATATCCTCTGATAAATTAATTGCCTTCTAACAAAAACCTTACCTGGGTCTTTTGCTCCTGGGCTGACATAACAGGTTCTGAGGAAACCATGATACTGAAATATTTAAAGAAATAAACAATGAAATTTTTTCTTTTTCTAGTTTTTATTTCTACTCCAAAATGAGAATATTTTTCCTCAGTAACATTTGTTCTTCACAATACCAATAAGGCAAAATGGTTCCTTAAACAGAAACAGCACAGACTTAAAACACTTTGGATCAAATATATTTACTGTAATGGTAAAGTTAAAACTGCAATTTGAGTCCTTCAGAACACGGACTCGTTTAAGGAAAGCTGTCTCCTCTGCCTCCTCAACCAAATACTGTGAAAGAAAATAATCCCCATCCACTAAACACCAATTTTAACCAATAGAAATACAATCATGATTCTTCCTGTGCAACCACTGATTTTTTGGTTGGAGGGGAACATTAACAAAGAATAAAATTATTCAAAAATTTCCTCAAAATCATTCAAATAAATATAAAACAAGGAAGTAATTTAGTTTTGGACTCCTCAAAAGAGGGAAAGAACACAGCCAATTAGCAAATATGGGGCAAGAATAGGTACTGGTGCATCAAATTAGGTATTCAACAAGAGACATTTCTCACGGATAAATTAATTATAAATAGAAAGTTATAAAAATGGAGTTGTATAAAAGTCTACATGAAAGAGACATCAAATTTAAATAAATTTCTGCATCTTAAGAGATAAACAGGAGAACTTGGAAATTAAAAAATGTTTGTAGGGCTAGCATGGTGGCACATGCTTGTAATCCTAACTACTTGGGAAGCTGAGACAAGAATATCACAAATAAAGGTCAGCCTGGGAAACTTAGTGAGACCTTGTCTCCCCGCAAAATTTTTTTAATCTTAATGAAAAGGAGGGAAGGCCAAGCGTGTTTGCCTAGAATGTGTGAGGCTTGGTTTTTAGCCCAAGGACTGGAGAGGAGGAGGAGGAGGAAAAGAATAACAGAAATATTTGTAATTCCTACTAAAAGAATTTAGAAACTATGGTGTAAAATAAAGATTTCATGTTCCCAACTATCAAGTCCTATCACTGAAATAAGTAGTCCTTAGCCTGAGAGTTCACAGAATTAGTAATATCAGGTGAATCAAGAAAATAATGCTAGGGACTGAAGGGAGAAAAAACCTATTGTTATGGCTCATGTCTAGATGTCCCGCCAGAGCGTCATGATTTTTCAGAGGAGGTTGAATCTACAGTGTGATCTGATTTATGGTGGGGCTAAGGGAATGAGTGCTACCCACCCTAAGTCTGGATGGGACAAAAGGGACAGGAAGACTGTTAAGGTCCCTTGTTGCTCTGCGACCATTTATGCTGCCATGATGTGTTATTCTTCTCCTATGTGCCCCCTGCCTTGGAGCAGCTGATTATAGACAAAACCTCTACAAACTGTGAGCCAAGTAAACGCTTTACCTTTAACTTTGAGTGTTGGGTATTTTGTCTCAGCAACAAGAGAAAAGAACTAAGACACCTAGCATGAGAGGAAATCAATAAAAACTTTTTTTAATTGATGAAGTAAAAAAAATAGTAGCTAAGTATGTCATGGAGAAGTATGGAGGAGGCAAACAGAGAACTCAGTTGGAAAATTTCAGAGTAGTTGCTACAGAATAGAACAAATTGAGTTTGTTCTGTGTACTTTGCTGTAAGCTTCTAGGTACAAATTGACTTTTTACTTGTATTATTTAAAGAAAATTTAAATAAATTTTAAGGTACCAATTACAGATATTTAAAAATTCTGTTCATTTGTATACACTGAGTCCATATGTTTAAGTTAATTTCTTGACCATGCCACAGGTATGCCAAATGCATTTTATCTTATCGTTAAACTCTTGATTTTAAACTCAACCTCTTAACATCTAATTCCCCCAACCTGTGCAGCCCCTACATTGCCTAACAAAGGGAATGACAACATTCTCACATTCAAGCATTCAAAGACAGAATTTAAGGCCATGGACAAGTCTTTCTTTTTCTTTAACCGTTCTATCTTCTACCATACAAGTCTTTTTCTCTCCATGCCCTCTTTTACTCTCCTTATCTATGCTACCACTACTTCTTTCAACCAACACAACAGCCTCCTTATTTGAGTCTCTACAATTCCCTCCAAAGCAGAATGATCAATTAAGGATTGATTAATCAAGAATTCGCACACAAAGGTCCACAGGTCAAATTTGTTTTGGTTAGGCCAAAAGTGAATAATGTTTTTTATACTTTTAAATAAAAAAATTGTGGCTTGTTGAATTCTATGAAATTCAAGCTTTAGTGTTTAAGTAGTTTTATTGTACTACAACCATAATCATCCATTTTCATACTACATATGGCTGCTTTGAGGCTGCAACTGCAAAGATGAATGACAAAGGCCCTCAACACCTAAAATGTTTATTATCTGAATTATTTTAAGTATGTGTGTAGTACATAAAGATTACTTTCATCCTGCTAAGCTGGTAATGGACACAATATACTTTCTTTTTACTTTCTCTCCCCCTCCCTTCTCTCCTTCCACTATCCGATTCTTTACAACAAATCTGTCAAATGCTGCTCTAAATTAGAACTTTAATCACGTCACTGTTCTGCTTAAAACTCTACCTTAACTCCCCACTGCCTTTATGATCGAGTCAAGTACCTGGAAGAAATTAATATTCTGGCTTCTGTTTAATTCTCCAGGCTTAAATTTTACCACTCCCTACTTAGAAAACCTCTGCCCGTGCCCTTGAGTGGCTCAATCGTATCTTTCCTCTGCGTGAAAAACTTCCCCTCACACCACCTGACTGACATCTACTCGAGCTTCAAAGAGTCACTTCTTTTGGAAAGTCCTGCTTATTCGTCTACTGTTTCTGAAACATTGTAACTCGAATTGTACTTTTAGGTTCCCTGTCCTGTGCAACCGTCTTAAGGTCCAGTGACTGTGTCTTGAATATTCCTCACTTGATCTCAATGACTAAAATGGTACCTGGCACTAAAAAGCAGCCTGCTAAAAACATAGTAAAAGTTTAAATGAAGACATACTTCAGGATAATAAATGGCTATGTTGTTTTACATACTCTTCAAATGTTCTGTTTACATTAAGCCATAGAAATATCACATATTCAAACAGAAGGAAATTATTTAAGGTGGGAAACATAGTTTGGTAAATGTATCAGATCCAAACTACCATTATTAGAGTGAGAAAAGCATTTAAAATGCATACAAGTATAAGAACACATTCATTTATTTTGACCTGATGAGAATGTAAACATAGTCCATTAATGTATTATGTAGGCCTTAACGTGTTTTTCAAATTCTTCATCCCCAAACCTCTGGAATTCTATATAGTTTCCACACTTTTATTAAGTCACCAAGTTAAATAATAAGCTTAATTATACATTAACTATATTGCCTGGATCCTCTATCAATTTTTGTATTTATTATTTTATGTTACCATAATAATTGTTTTGAAAATGGGGTGGGAATGTATATTTCATACAAATTGGTAGACAAATACAGCTTTGAAAGCCAGCTCTGCCATTAGAAATATGCTCTTGAACAAGATAGCTAACTTTTTAACCCTTGGTATCTTTAACCACAGAATACAGGTAAATAATACAGCAACTCAACAGCTTTTTTAAGAATCAAAGGAGATATTACATATAAAATGCTTAGCATTTAACATAGAACCTGGCAAAGAACAATGCTAAGAAGCACTGGCTGTTAATATCACTGTGTGTGTCTACTTAATAATTACAGTACTGGGGTCGGGGATTTAGCTCAGTGGTTCTGCTGCCTGCCTCACAAAGGCCTGAGTTTAATCCCCAGTACAAAATGATACTGGATATAATTTAAATATTAAACGTTCTAATAATAATTAATTATTAATAATAATAATTAAATGTGCTAATGAAATAAGACAACATCTGATAGTTCCTTTGCTTTACAAAATAAAGGAAAATAGTGCCGATAACATAAGCATAGAAAATAAAAACTTAGAATTCTGTACCTTTTTTTAGGAATGTTAATCCCGGGAGAAATTTTATCAAGTGCTTTGTAAGAATACATCTTCTCCAAGTTAGACTGCATTTAAATATACAGAGAGAAAAGTGAGAAGTTTAAAGAAATATTTAAGAATTAAGAAAAAAGATACAAAATCTCACAGTTATAATTTTTCCACTGACTAACCAGGCAATCAAGTAAATCAACTGAAAATAAGCTCTTAAACCATCTCTCCCAAAATCTTATAGGCAGTTAAAAAGTTCCCTTCCTCCTTAAGCCATAAATATAAATGATCAAAAGAATGCTCCAACACACAGCAAGGCCCAAGTTACAAAACTAAGTTACATTCTGCATAGTTTAATAAAGCAGAAAAAGTGGAAAGAAAATGTAATTCACGCATTTGTCCATCTTCCATGTTCTATTAGCTCAAGTCTGTCTGGGTTAAGTACTTAATCTATTCTCTAAGAAGCCAACAGAACAAAAACGTGTGGGGGCATACATACATGCACACACATGCACATATGTGGCTTCAAAGAGAATATTAGGAATAAGGCTTATTTTCTATCAATTATGAATATCATAATGCATTAAAACGCCAAGCCAAATGAATTACAAAGAAGGCTTGAAAGACTCAAAATGAGTTACTTTCTCAAATTCTACCAATTTTTCTATTAGCTCTTAAAATCATATAACATATTTTACTCTATTCATATCACTTTTCTTCCTAATTTATTACTTATTATATGTACTATTATTCTCTTAAATTGGAGGGGATTTAAAATTTAAAAAATTTAAAAGAAGAGTTGTATCAATAAAGAATGGAATAAGGAAGAATCAGCTCTTTAACACAAACCTCCTTCTCTGCAGTTAATTCAATTGGTATTTGATTAGAGGGATGATGTTCAGTGCCCGAAGATACAGTACTAGCACTGAAAAATAGAAAAATTAAATTATTTCTGGTATTAAAATGCAATTATCTAATTTGTGAATCATCATACCCCCACTCTCGAGATTATGTTATCCTTTTAGAACTGACAATTTTTTAAAACTGATTTCCTTTCCCAGAAAAGAAAGGAATTTAAAAGAAAAAAAATTAACAAATGATCAATAACATGTAAGGCACTAAAAAGTAACGAAGAGCATATTCCCTTCACATCTTCTACACATAAGGAAGCTCAGCTCATAAATTCTTCACCATTCATCTCAGTGCCGCTTACTCAATGGGAAAGATGATCTCTGTAGCCTATTTAATAGACAAAGTGTTCTATGATTTGATTTCTCTTTTCTGCAGAGCCTTTCTCCCAAACTCACTAACACAAGTGTGCAAACACAAGCAGGCAGCAGGCAACTGATTTTATTTGTGTGGTACCTATAAAATGCTGTAATTTGAATCATTTAATCAACAACCAAAAAGAGAAGTAAAATAAAAACAGCAGTGGGAAGGGGGAAAAAAAAGCCTGATAAATGAACCTTGGCAGAAGAAACTTCTTCAGACATAATTCTTCATTAGCTTGAAGTACAAGGGTCTGAGGAGATTCTGTATTGGCTTTAAAAAGCCAATTCCTACCCTATCAAAACAAAGAAACAAAAAAAAACTTAATACACAGTGGGAAAAACTATGTCAAACACATAGATTTTTAGTCTGTTTACCTTTACTGTAAGGGTGCAAATCTTTACAAATCTGTTATTGCCAGGAACGTCTACCAAAAATCCTTCAGTTATGAGGTGACGGGAAAAGGCCTTCCACCAACTCTCTGTTTGATCCTTGCCAGCACCAAAAAGGTTGTGTCTACGATACTGATCTGGAATACGCTGAGAACTCTGAAATTAGGAATAAAATCAGCATGTAAAAATGCTTATTCAATTAAAAAGGCTAAGTAAAACACAAATCCATCTATTGATTCTTTGGTGTTTTGGGGGGGTTTTTTTGGTTTTTTGAGACAGGGTCTCACTATGTAGTTGAGACTGACCTGGAACTCACTATGTAGCCCAGGCTGGTCTCGAACTCACAATGATCCTCCTGCCTCAGCCTCCCGAGTGCTAGGATTACAGGCGTGTGCAACCATGCCTGACTTATTTGGTTTTTACAGTAAATTTCAGCTTTAAAAACTTAATTTTTTTTTTTTTTTTTTTTTTTTTTTGCTTTTTTGGTTTGTTTTGTTTTGCTTTTTTCAGGAGATAGAGTTTTGTTATGTAGTTCAGGCTGGCCTTGAACTCACTCTGAAGCCCAAGCTGTCCTTCAACTCACAGCAATATAAAATACAGTCTAAATGTTTAGAACTAAGCAGACTACAATTCAACATTTTTACATTTTGCCTTCGCTCTATTGAAGATTTAACAATCAATGTTTATAAAAATCCAGGGATCAAAATTAAAAGAATATATAACAAGAGTTGCAGCAGATATAACTCAGGCTTTCTGTCAAGAATATATTGGCTTTATGTAACTCATGAGAACATTATAGAAACAGGTTTAACATTTTAAAATGATAAAAATGTAAATAAAAAAATTCTAAAACAAGTAGAACAAGAATGACATATTAAATACAAAGATACACTGCTTTAATATTTAAAGATCTTCCCAAACATATTACTGAAAGCAAAAGCATATCTGAGTATGTATTAATATACTTATACCATTCAAAATTTCTAATGCTCAGACTTCTAAAATATCCTAAATAAGGCTGCTCTTTCATGGAAACGGAAGCTAAGATGAACCTCAGTCAGGTTAATTTCCACCAGAGACAGAGATAACAGTGCCTAGACAGTTGTCTAAAAATATAGGTTTCTGACAGGAGTAGTTAACTGAGTCCGTGACCTGCTCTGTATTAAATCTTAAAAATAAAAATAGAATCATTTTTATAAAAATAGATAATAAATTTTAGTATTATGACGATTATATTTATTAAAATGTTATTAGATTAAGATTGACAGAAATATAAACACCCAGGCATAAAGTGGCACCTTTTTCCTTATTACCAATCCCTTCCTCTACTAATCCTCATTTTGGGTTGTTTAAAATCAGACACTGTATATGTAAGGTGAACAAGTTTTAAGATCGAATATACAACACAAAGACTACAGATAATGAAACTGTACTGTATTTGAGATTCCTGATAAATGAATAGCTTTTAGCTGCTCCTGCCACCAAAACAAACCAAACAGAGGGTGAGGATTATGTGGGACGATATATATGCTATTTGGCTTTACTGCAGTAACCATTTACTGCAAAATATCATTCTGCATATTTTAAACATGCATAATAAATTTTATTTTGAAAATTAAGACATCATAGAACTTCAAAATTGAAAGGAATGTTGAAGCTGTTTGTTTTTTTCACTCTTTTGCGAGTAAGTAATCAGAAGCTCAAAGATGTTAATGACAGCCTCACACATACTGTTCAGGTACTCTACCACTATACCACATGCCTAGCCCACAACCCCTCCCTACTATCCTTGGTTTAAATTTTGAGATAAAGTCTTGCTAGATTGTCCAGGCTAGTCTCAAACTTGCAATCCTTCTGCCTCAACCTCCCAAGTATCTGGGATTACAGACATGCAACACCATACCCAGCAAGTTCTAAGTTTTTGATAGTATATGTGCACATGCCTATATACCCACCCACACCGATATACACACGTATGTGGCTCTTGGGCTAGACTACCTGGATCTAGTGCTATGGTAAATTACTTAACTGTGCTTTTATTGCTTGAAATAATATACAAGTACGAAAATAGTTTCCACCTTTTGAAGATACTTTCAAGAATAAGAAGGTACAATAACTAGGACAAAACCTGGCTCAGTAATTTCTTTTTATTAATTAATAGCTATACAATAACTAGGACAAAACCTGGCTCAGTAATTTCTTTTTATTAATTAATAGCTGAAACCTTAACTCAACCTAAATTTCTTAATCCAGTAGCATTTAGTCAGTTTTCTCTGCAATACTTGCTCATGGTTCTATTGCTTAGGGTTTACTTATCTTTTTTTAGCAAGAGCAAGAGATTCTATTGCTTGAAAATTAATAACACCAAAGATATTAAGTTGCCGAACTACCACTTACTAGCTCTCTAAACACAGAAAATTATGTTTTCCTTTCCTCAGTAGAAAAAAATTTTGAAGTGAATACCCACATTTACTAGTATGAAACAATGAGACTTTCTAATTAGTAGGGAATAAATGTCTCTTCCTTTTATGATCAAGATTCATTGTGTACTCTGTGTACTATGTTAATAAATTTATATTGTCTTGTTTCCATGGTAATCGCTATGCAGAGACCATTGTTGACAGGGGGAAAAACTTGCCACTTCTCCAATTTCCTTAAGAGTCACAATTGCTTTTTATAATTCTCTTCACTGTGAATGACATTTTCTTCTACTTATTCCCTCATTCCATCACTGAAGGTCCAAATTAAGTCTACCTTGCTAAAACCTACTATATCCTCCATAAAATCAAAGCAACAGTGATATTCTCATGGACTTTCTAATTCCCCTGTACATGCTCTCTTCAGACTTGAATAATGCTTCAATGCTATTCGTGTGTCCTTTATCTTTTTCTATATTATACTTCTGTCTTCCTGACACCTTTTATACTAGATGATAAGTTTCATTTAATTCAGCTCTGGATCATCAACAAAATACAGTAATATAATGCTTTACACAAAAATAGATGTTCAATAATTAGTGAAAAAAATTATAAACCTCAACTCAATACACATCAACATTTGGCTCTAACCAATGAAGGTCCATGATATGAAGAGTTTGTCTAAAATCTGTCATCCTGCAAAACTGTATGTAGTATCACCTTACAGTATACTTCTCCAGCCTGAAAACAGTTGCAATCTCTTCATTAATTTCCTGTCATTAGTTGGAAATGTCTATTAAAAAGGACTACAGGTAATGCTGTTTCATCAAAATTAACCAAATAGCTAAAAGACAGTAAGGCAGGCAGTATTTGGGCTATAATTTAAAAACCAAAATTCGTCAGACAGAATTGTGAAGAAGGGGACCTTTATAAAGAAAGTAACAAAACTTTTGTTTTAGAAAGCTACAATTCAAGAAGTGATAAGTTTCTAAGTTCTTAAAATATAAAACAAGCCCATAGCTTCTGTCAAATACTCTTTTTCTCCCCATTTCCCAGTTCCTACAGACAAAAAGAAGCCAACAGCTGCCACTTTAGGGCTTCAGAAAGTCAGTCTGAGCTATTTTATATGCAAAATAAAATCAAAGGATAAAGTAATAATAATTATCTTTAGAAGTATATTTCAACCAGATAAAATAACTTATTCAGAAAATTAAAAGGAAAGCCTTCTCCTGTTAGATTCTTTGAAAATTATAAGGGTGATTAAAACTACCAAGAATTCCAATAGCTTTTTCTAGGTCCCAAAATCTTTTATCGAAAGTGTTATCTAAGCTGAACATTCTGATGTGGCCTGTAATCCTAGCTACTTAACAAGCTGAGGAAGGAGGATCAAGTTCAAGACTAGCGTGGGCAACTTAGTGAGACCCTACCTCAAAAACTGTTTTAATTAATTAAAATTTTTAACTAAAACATGTTATCTGAGGCCAGGGCTGAGATAAGGCTTAACACTGCGCTGTGATAAGAAAAAAATGTTACACTTCATCTCCAGTATGCAAATTAATGATTGTGTTCTGTTTTCTAACTTATAAAATTAAGGTCATTGTATATCTTATCAAATATTCACACAAGGTACATGGTGAACTAATTACACAGTTAAAACTTAGATAACAGTTGTACTACTCAATAACTAATAAAACTTCAAACTCCACTCACAAACTTACAAATAAACTATGTAACTGTCTTTACTATTTTTCTAAATACTGTGTATGAGAATCATATATTACTGAAACTACACTACGTATATTTTTTTAAGAAAACTCCAATAGCTTTCAGTTTAATACACATCATTTTACAGATCAACATTATCTAAAAAGTTATAAATTCGTCCTAAATTAGTGAAGGGGAACATTTGCCAATTCTCAAAGGAATTACAATCATAATTTTTAAAACAATATCCCAATAGATACTATGATCACTGAAGGGGGAAGGGGTATGTCTCATTTTCACTGCAGTTAGTATCGACAAATTTTCATTAAGTGGCACTTTTTAAAAAGTTTTGCACTTTTATTTAGCAAGGGTAGTATAAAATTTCACAAAGGATAAACTTCTTAATTTGAGGACTCCCAGAAGACTCAGTATAAGAAGTCTGACTTGGTTTTCAAATAATAGGTGAAATCTGATCCCTCTTGTGACCAGTGCAAGTTTTTCTAGGAGCACACTTACACTTATTTGTTGATACTGGATACAGCTAGATTATATCAAATTAAAACAAGAATATTTTTTATAAACTACACATTCAACTGAGATACACAGGTTTTGAGAGTGACGAAGAAATTTTTACAGATCTCAACTATATTTAAACTGTCCCCTGCAATCTAAATTCTTTTTTTATACTACATAATATAATTCATAGCAGATAAAGCAAATTTCTTTAAGCAATAATTCTAGTACTGAATTCTAATCAAACTAGTGATTGAAAAACAAAATTTTAAACTCAATTCAGAATCTAAACATATTATTGTCTCAAAAATAAAAAGTAAAATTAGAATTGTGAAGGTCCTAAATTCAATCCCCAGTACCAAAAAAAGAAAAAAGAAAAAAGTTAATGTTTTCAACATATTTCACTGAAAATATTTCTCAGCTAATTTAAACACAATATTCAAAATATATTAACATGAGGCATTTCAGACTTTAGCAAATAATTATTTACCTAAATGATTTCTAAAATTCTACATACAAAATAATAGTCTTAAATTATTTTCTAAATATTGTTAACAAATGTACATATTTACAAAGTATCCTCTCTTCCATGCTCAGTTTGTTCCACTAATACTAATATATTAAGTGAATCAGTCACCTTTGCTTTACAGGCTTTTAAATCAATGATAAAATCACATACACAAAAAGACTCGAAAAAAGCTTTTTAAATATGTCATATTTGTTTCTGTCATTGGTTAGCATAATGCTAGCACATTAATCTCTCTAAAAAGGCAGTTAAACTGAAGTGACCATTGACTGATAAAGGAAAAAATAACTTTTTAAAAATTTTAGATACTTCTAGTAAGAAATGAGGAGAAAGAAAAAAGTCCTGCCAATACTGTTATTGAATTTAGCCACTTATAATTCCTGAAACAATGTTTTCCTCAAAGAATTTAATAGTTTCCTAGGTGCCAAAAGATACAATTTTATTCTGGTAGTCCTTTGATACAATAAAAGTTAACTTCCCTTAATTATCCTAAGACCAACCAGTCTAAGGGTTTACCCCTTTGTATGTGATAAACTAACATAATGTTTCCAGACTGATATTCAGAGCTTAACATCATCAGCTTGGAACATCAAAATAGCAGCAGATGTAATACACACAAGTTCTGTCAAAAGTAATGAATAACTTATCCAAAGCCAAAACTATAATCCTAACTCTGAAGAAAGCGTAACAGGGAACAAAAATGAAGGTTATTTACAGATATACTTACAGATCCTCGGAGAAATAAAATTGGAACCCCAATTCCAAACTTTCCCTGTAAGATGTCCACGGCAGATAACAGAAGGAATGCTTGTGGCCCAAAGTCCTGTGATGTATCATCTGAATCATTAATGGAGTAGCAATGATGCACTCTATAAAAAAGATAATATGCTAAGAAAGCAAAGACAAGTACCTTTAGAAATGAAAAGATTTAGTGTAACAATTATCTCAAAAGTGTCAACTGCTCAATATCTAAAAGATGCCAAATACTTCAGAAGCTACAAAGTTCATTACAGCCAAGAGCATGTGAAATACTTAAAACTTGAAAAAAAAACTAAAGTATTATAGAATGTTACGCTAAGAGTTCTCTTCTAGTGCTCCAGAAGCCAAGTTCAAGAAAGCAGAGGTGCAGGATCACAGCTAGAACAGCAGCACCTGATCAGTTTACATAACTTAGACTTCTGTGTTAGGCTTTGGCGAAAAAAAAAAAAGGTGGAGAGGTTGCTGCAAAAAATAAAAAGTTTTAAACTTATAAAAACAAATTTATACAGTAAATTATTAATTTAAAACCTAATGACTATGAAATATGACATGAAGTTTATAAATCTTTCATTAGAACATTTAGAAGTTAAATTCCTAAGTCATCCTTCAGGAAGATTTGAAATTATCAAATGAGAATTCTTTATGTTGAAAACAAAAGGAATCCTTAGAGAAAAATCAAATAAATATAGTTAAAGCTAATCCAATTGTTTTCCTTAAAATAAATTATCTTTGAAATATCAATAAGAATACCTTTAAATTCCAGATAAAATAATGTTTGGAGGGGAAAAAAACCCTACTATGTTCATTTTTTTATTCTCCTAGTCTAACCTCTTTAGGAGAATTCTTAGTTGACAAATTTTCTCTTCTAATAGGAAATTTTATAGCTATCACATGCTCAGGAAGTACTATTTTACCAGTTTTAATATATATTATTTTAATTATCAGTATATTCTAAAATTTTTTAAATTACAGTTTGATTTTTAAGTTATTCTAAATGGTTTCATTTTTAACTCCCAGATGTGTAAGAATATTTTTAGCTGCTTATTTATTTCTGAATCAACCACATTCTGGTCAGAAAATGTGGTGAGTTGTAACAACTCATTGAAAGTTTTTTGAAACAAGCTACAGTCTAGTATGGGAGTCAGAAAGCTTTTTTTATCAAGGACCAAACAGAAAATACTTTAGGCTTAGTGGATCACAACAGGTTTTGCAGGTAACTATTTAATTCAAGCAGCCACAATAAACAAAAGGGCATGGCTGTGTTCCAGGAAAACTGAAATCTGGCCTATAGTCTGCAACCCCTGCTCTAATACATAGTCAATATTCATAAACACTCCATATATATTTCAGAAGTTCAGGCTTTTATCCAGTGTTTTCCAATCAGGGTCTTGCAGATACATCATAGGTGTACCAAAAGTTTAACTGTTCCAGACTTTAGGCTCTAGACAGAGCCTGGACTTCAACCATTAGCCCACTATGCTACACAAATAATTATCATTTGCCACATGGGTCATGAACTAAAAAAAAAAAAATGAATTTGAGATATACTGCTCTAATTGTTTGGTAGAGGTATACCACGTGATAAATGAAACGTCAATATGTTGATCAAATTTTATATAACCTACTAATTTTCTGACTGCTTAGCTTATCAATAATTAAAAATTATACCAAACTCCCCCACTATGATAGTGGTTACTGATTTCTTCCAGTTGATGTCAATTTGTACTTTATTTGTGTAAGGCTTTTGCTTTGCTTTTAGTGCACAAAACAATTATGTCTTCTTGGGAAAGGAACAATTTACCATTATATAGCCAACAACTCCATCCTTTATAACATTTCTTATGCATTACAGTAACACAGGTACTGCACCCAGATTGCTGCTAACCCAAGTAGATGCATCATTTGTTTTTATTCTTGCAATAAACACACAGCTAAAGTCACTGTATTTGTGTAAAGTTCTACAAATTTTAACATACCCATGGGCTCATATGCATAAATACATCTAACATTCACCAAAACAAGCACATACAAGAGGATTAAAATAGCAGAGTAAGACCAGGAGCAAAATAAGGTCTGCCTCTTCAGGACCTGGAATTAAAGCACCTGGAAAACAACTTGAAAAAGCAAAACCAAAAAATAGCTCTTTGGGAACTGAGAAGGAATTGACAGAAATGGGAAATGACAGAGAAGCTGGAAAAACTGAGCACAACGCAGAGAAAAGGATAAAGCAGTCTGGAAAGCTCACCCCAGCTCCAGGGAGGGCACCTGTCTCTGCTAACACAAGCTAAACCCAATGCATCCCCTGGCAGAAACAATGGCTTGAGCCAGCAGCACTGGCTCCAAGAAAAGTGCACGGTTATTGTACAATGCCAGTACAGCATGGGGTTTTACTCTAAAAGTGAACTCCTTTTACCTGGCAGGCTAGAGTTGGAGAATAAATCCAGTGCAGCACCCAACATACTTGTGTTTAATCAGGAGCCAATTTGGAAAGGGGTTGTTTTAAGACTAAGCAAAAGGAGAAATACAGAACAACTGTACTTATGGGTTTCTGGGGTCAGCCTACAACAGTGGCTGGGTAGAAAATAGCCACAAGAGACAAACATAGCAAGGGAGCTAGCTAGATATAGACCCCCTGAGAAGTTAAAGCTCAGGCCAAAAAGGATATAGGGTCCGGCCTACAAAGTTGAGAAGCCATGCCAGTTATGAGCAGCTAACGGAGGGGGCTGGGACTGAAAGTGTTAGCATTAAGTTCAACAGACTGCTTGACCTTTCCACCGTGTTAACCTATATCCGACACAGAGCTCAGTAGCCTGTTTGCCTTCCCCATTTACCAACATGATTAGAGATATCCTTTGGCTTATACTGTGGCCACAGCCTAGGGTGGAGAAAGCCATGACTGGGGTACATTGAGGGATGCAGAAACTGGAAACTACCGCAATGAATATAGCTGAACAGTGGAAATAATTGGTCAACTATGCCCTGAAGGAAATGCGTGACAGGATTCACACACAAAAATGTGAGTATGGAGGCAAAACAGCTTAACAGTAACTCACTATGTCACCTTCATATCAGGTGGATTCCGATGCTGTAGACTCTGGAAAGAAACCATGCTTCAAACACACAGAGTAATTTGGGTTTTTTTGGACGCATTTCTCTTTGTGCTTTATTGTTTTGTTTTGTTTTTGAAGCTTGAGCTTTTTTTTTAAATTATGCTCTCTGTACTTTATTTTTCATTTGTTACTGTTATTTTTACCTAATTCTATGAATTTTATTTTACTCCCTAATAGGATCCTTCATCTCACTTTTCTTGCCTCAGCTGCCTTTTGTCAAATTTTACTTCTTGCATTTTTCCATTCCCCACCCTCTCCATTTTTATTAGTACAGTAACCCTGTGAAGCTTAATCTTTAAATATTTAGTTGACTCTACGCTATTATTATTGAATTCTTTTCTATTGTTAGTGGTGGTATAATTGTCGTATTTAGTACATATTTGCTGTGTGTCGATACTTGGTTTGTCTTTGTGTCTACATTATAATTACAAATATCTTTTCTATTGTTAAAGGGGGGTAAAGTAGTAGCCCTTAATAGTTCTCTTGGTATGTCAATATCCAATTTAATTTTGACTCTATTATTGTTGCTGATTTTGTTGCTGCTGCTAGAATAGCAAAGCTATTGCTATTAGTTGGCTTTTACTCTATGCTGCTATCTAGTTTGTCTTTGTGTCATCATTACTGTGGTTCATTTCTGGAGAAAAGGATACTAAGCCAATTACAGTTGGACCCTTCTCTCTCCAAATTAGCAAAAGGTCAGATCTTAGGACAAAGGCAATGGCCTTTAAGTAGCCATACCCAGTGTGCATCACTGTAAAGCAGACTAATTTAAAATGATCTCCATACTATCAACAAAGTCTTTCCACTATAATGGACCCTCAACCCTCAGAAAAAAAGAAAAAAAGAAGGCAACAAAAGCCTTGAAAAAGTACCAACTCCCAAAAGCTGATCCAAAGAGTATCTATGAGGAGAAAAGAAAAATCCATTCAGCTAAATTATATGAAATGTTAAAAGACACACACAGAGCAAATTGAGAAAGTGCTCAGTGAGCTCAAAGATGACATAACTAAATAGATAATGGCCTTAATAAAATGACCAGTGAACTTACAGAAGACACTAATAAAAAGCTACCTGAGCCAAACAAAACAGTACAAAACATGAATGAACAATTTAGCAAAGAATTAGAATCCGTGAAAAGATAACAAACAGAAATCCAGGAGCTAAAAAAAAAAAAAATCCTACTGAAAGTATGGGTAACAGAAATGACCAAAGTTAGGAGAGTATCAGAACTAGAAGACTAGGCCACAGGAAAAAATCATTCTACTGCCTGTTTTTGTAAATAAAAATTTTGGAACACAGGCAGAGCCACTTGCTTATTGCCTATGGCTGCTTTCTTGATACAACTAAGTTGAGTAGTTACAACTATTTGACAAGTAAAGCCTAAAATATTTTCTAGCTGGCACTTAAAAAAATGTTTCCTAATCTTTAGACCAGGCCCTTCTTCTGAAATAAGGCAAAGTGAATTTTATCCAAACTTTGAACTTGCTACAACCCTGTAGAAAAATTATTTTTCTGAAGTCTTCCCTGACCATCCAATTCAGATGAATCTTTCAAGTCTACCTGTGTTGTCTTTGTCCACCACCAGAAAGAGGACTACGTTCCAAAGACTTCTTATTCTACAAGATTTACCTTGAGACTTCCTCTTAGATTCACAGGTTATTCAGAAGTGTTATTTAATTTTCAATGGTTTAGAGACTTTCTTCTTCTCTTCCTGTTATTGCTTTCGAGTTTAATCCCATTATTTACAAAAAATACTTTACCCAAGTGGAATTCTTGAAAATTTTTAAGGTTTGTTTTATGACCTAGAGAATGATTTACATTTCACAAAAGTTCAGATTCTTTTTTTAATTTTATTTTATCGGTACATTTAACACATACAATATAATGATATTCACTGTTAGAAATTTGTACCTTTGCATAGTCAATCTTGCTTATTTTGTTCCCATTCCCCCACCTTCCTTCCCTATCTACAAAGACTTTAAAACTTAAAAAGAATGTTTACTCTGCTGCTGTTGCATGGATTCTTCTATAAAAACTAATGAGATCCAGTTTGTTGAACAGTCCTTTTCATTTCTCATTCTACTGTCTTTTGTCTACTAGTTATATTGGTTACTGAGAGAAGATACTGAAGTTACCAAGTATAGTGTATTTCTCCACTCCTTTCAGTTCTGTAAGTTATTTTATTAAGTGTACATACAATTAAATTATACCTTCTTGATTGTGATGGTTAAATTTATGCATCAACTTGGTTAGGCAATGGTGCTCACTTGTTTGGCCAAATACTGATCTAAGTGTTGCTGCAAAGTATTTTATAGATGAGATTAATATTTGCAATCATCTGACTTGGTGTAAAGGAGATGACCCTCAATAATGTGAGCAAATCTCATCCAATCATTTGAAAGCCTTAAAAGCAAAATCTGAGATGGAATTCATCCTTAAAACTATAACACAAACTGCCCTAGTTTTTAGTCCACTGGCCTACTCAACAAATTTTAACATTACCAACTTCCACAAGTGTCTAAGCCAATTCCTTAATATCAATTCCCCTATCAAATATTTCTTACACAGAAACACACACACAAAATCACTGGTCCTGTTTTGTTGGACAATCTTGACTAATAAATTGCCAAACTGGCCGGGCGTGGTGGTGCATGCCTGTAATCCCAGCACTCAGGAAGCTGAGGCAGGAGGATTACTGTGAGTTCAAGACCAGCCTGGGCTACATAGTGAGCTCCAGGTCAGACTCAACTACATAGTGAGACCCTGTCTCAAAAACAAACAAACAAACAAACAAAAAATGCCAAACTGACCCTTTTACATCATGCAATGTCCTTCTTTAACCCTGGTAACATTCCCTGCTCTCTATTGCCAATATTAAAACAGCAATTAGTGTTTTCATGAAATATAATGCTTCATTCGTTTTAACATATGTAATTATACTTTAGGTGGACTTCTTACAGACAGCATGTAAGATGAAAATATAAATGCAGTCACATTTAATAATCAATTTCATAATTTATGCCTTTGAATATTTTGACTTTATATTTAATATAACTTTCATATCTTTAGATTTAAGCCATTTTATTATGTACTGTAAAAATAAAATAATCTAAATTGTTCACTTTTCAAATTTTAAATAGAGTCATTATTTTGTTTGAAAAATCTTTTAACAAAAATTCAATTAAACATGATCTGAAAAGTAAGAGAAGCAGAAGACTTTTAGAATGTGCATCAGAAAGAAATCCTTACCCGGACCTGCAATTATCACAGCAGTTTTCAGTTCCCATAACACCCAAGGAAGCCTTTTGTAGTTGTCTGTCCTCAAAATGAGACAAAATGATCCTATCCAAGAGAAAATTTTAAATTAAATAGAAGAACAAATATATGTGTATGCTGAACTCATGCTAAAAATCAGGTGAAATCATCATCAGTTGATTTATCTCATATTCCAATACAGTATTTGAGTTCAGGTTACTAGGGTGACAAATAAGCTGCCTTAACCACTTACCAGTTTCCACTGACTACCACAAGTGTCACTCAGCAGGTGTCATTTGAACCAGTCGACTCTTGTTTGCATGAGATACACTTGTCTTTTTGTTTTTTATCAACTGGTTTTTGCATTCCTTTTTATTTAGAACATTGTATTCACCTTTCATGTTTGTTTCTAGTAAAACTTAATAAGTAGTTCTGGTTATTTTCTTTTACTAATTTGTGTTTATTTTATTTGTGAAAAATAACCTATAGTTTTGTGCTGCAATCTATGAAAACTCTAATTGTAAGTACATTAGATATAATTTTATACTTTAGAACTCAGTAATTTTTTTTTTACAATATAAAATGGACATATTTGGGACACTGAGAGTGAAAAGGAAGGAAGTGCCAAAAGATCTGCAGAAGAAAAAAACAAAAAAAAAGGAGAAAAAGTGGCTAGAGAGGAAAACTCTGTGTTATGAAATGGAAAGACAAAGTTGTCTCCTTATTATCAACTATTCATAATACAGAAATAATAGAACTTGAAAGAAGAAACAATACTAAAAAGTTTCCAACAGTCATCAATAATAATTCTATGGGTGGTACAGACAGAACTGACTGAAGTTCTATTCTGTAATCATAAGATAAGGAAAAAAATCACTATAAAATATTTATGCACCTTCTAGATTAAACAATATGGGACTCATTTGTTATTTATTTAAAATAAGGGTATTCAAAAGTCATTTACAATTTGGATTAGATCTAATAGATCAAATTGAAAAATACGGGATAGGAAAACGCCACCTGGGATATCCATCATCAATGTCTTCACCATTGTGTTTAGGAGGTAGACATTTTACTGAGATTATACCACCCAGAGGAAAAAAAGAAAACCCAACTCAACAGTGTAAAGTGTGTTGTTAAAAGAAAGACAATAACACTGTTCAGATTGTAATGTTATATTGTGCATCGAATGTTTTAAGATACACCATACACAGAAAATTATTGTATATAAAATATAAATTTGATAAAATTATTTTTATACTTCCTGTTATGTTGTCTTATAAAAATTAACAAACATTTGCAGTTTCTGTTTACCCTATTTTTAAATAATTGGAATGGTAAATGGTTAAAAATTTGGGACACATGTAACATAATATTCAGTCAAAATATTTGCTATTATGCTATTAATTGATATAAAATGAAAGATACATACTGCCGCCTACATCTGCTGGAATGAAGATATTTTTCCATTTTTGCCACCATCTTTAATTTGTATGATCTAAACTTCTCATTACGTATCTCAATGAAGTGGTGCCTGTCAATGAAAAATATTACAGGATTAGTTGAAATTATTAGCAATTTTATTATTTTTTAATTATTTTTTCCCAAAACCCACACTTCCATCAACATTTCTTTTACCCACAGAAAGTTCTTGTGTATCCCTTCCCATTTGTGTCTCCCCATGACATATTTTTTGGATTGCTTGCAAGCTTTCTATTATATAGGAAATATGACCTTTCCCCCACAAGAGGTTATTTTTTTAAATATTTATTTTAAATTCGAAGTATTTATATAAGGAATGGTGAAAAAGCGCACATCACACCAGCATAAGCTTTAAACTTCATGAGCTCTTCAAAGGTCTTTCTTGCCCTCCAAACCTTCATCTTTGTATCACGGGATATTTGTTGATACCACTAAGGTATCAGAATTAAGTTTTTCCTCAAGCACTATAATTGATTCTGGTTTTTTTGCCATAATATTGAACTTCTTTAAATATTTTAAATAACATTAAAAACATTTGTTAATTTTTTAAAAGTCAGTGCTGCTACTATATATCTTGATTGTTCATTTCTAGTTTTCTATGAAGAAATTTTATGAATGTCAAATATCAGATGATGAAAATCTCCCAAATAGTTTTGCATACCTTTCCAAGAATAAATAAATATCTGAATTGTATTTCAGATATTGCAAAAGAATAAAAATGATGTACATTTATAAGATCTAAGTGGTAACTGATTCTAATGAAAGGGTTCTGTCCAATCTTCTGACTGATCAAAATAATCCCTGTACAAATCTCAAGGAATCTACAAAGTCTGAATGATCTGTTATTCAGACACATTCTTGTAATTTAACACTACCACCTCCTGTGCCATTCCATGTAATCCCCCAACTCACTTTCTTCCAAATGTTGACTCTAGGTCCTAGGTTTACCAATTAGCTAATCTCACTCTTCCTGGCTCAAAGACAAACATGAGTTTCTTCCTTTTTGTTTGTTTGTTTGTTTTGTTTTTTTAATTTATTTACCGGTTTCTTGTTTAGTTCACCTCCTTCTCCTGAGATAGCATTAACAAGGAAAACAAATACTTACACTTTCAGAACTATGTGATCTCATATATTTGGTTTAAGTGACTTCATTTAAATGATCTCATCAACATTCATACTACTTTTGAGAAAATAAAACTATAGTTCCTAAAAAAAGAAAAATTCTAAAACAATACCATTAATAGAAATCAGTTATAGCTAGTTTACTGAATTGAGATCATTTTGCAAGTTTTTCTTTCTTAAAAAGAATACTACATCTATTAGGTTTAACTGTTTAAGATAACAACCACGGAAATGAGGAAAAAAAGAAGCAGCAAGGTACATCAAGATACACACAAATTTTCTATGATGTATGTTATCATTGTATATAACTAAAATGCACCAATAATAATAAAAGAGAGAGAGAGAGAGAGCAGCAGCAGCAGCTCCACTGGAGTCGGAACCGTCATGCAGACACCAGCAGCACCCCCACCAGACAACATTGCACAGGCTTCGTGGTATCTGAATCCACAACACTGAGGCACTGGGGGCCATAAAAGCCATGGTTATGAGCCCCAGAAGATAAAGCAAAAGTAAACAAAAGAGAAGGCCTCTCTGAGGCTCCTCAATGAAAACTGAAGCCAACAGGGAAAGTGAAGAAAATTTCTGCAATAAAGGCACACTGGACCACCATGGTTAGTAATCTGGTGGGATTAGCACCTCTCATATAGAAATCTGGACTTCCTTAGAGGGGAGGATAGTGGGAAGCTGCAGCAGAACCTTGCAGAGTTCAATCCTGCAGAAGGTCAGGGACCTCAACTTAGACCGACCTTGCAGCCAGAAATCACCCTAAATCTCAGTGGATTACAGCTGACTTGTTGATACTAATCAATTTATGTCTGCACAATGCTACCCAAATTATCTACCAAGACAGCAGAGACATCCCACTAGGGAGGCTACCATATATGGAGATTTTTTTCTTTTCTTTCTCTCCCTTCTTGTTCTGCATTTCTCTCCCTCTTTCTTCCTGTTTCTGTACCATTTTGAATTGGTTTTCTCTTTTTTTCCTTCTCTCCACTGTCACTATACATATAAGAATATGAATACAGTTTCTAGCTTCCTTATTGCTGTTAGTTTGGTCTGTTCTTGACTTTGTTCTTTTGCTTTGTCTTTTCATCTTCTCTTCAACAGTTTCCCAAAATTGTGTGATTTCCCCATGTTCTCTACCGTCATTTCTAATCTTTTCCTCTCCTTCTAGCTCTCTATCCCTCCCTCCCTAACCCCTTCTAAATCCTTATCCTGAAGGGTATACTTGCAGCATTGAAGGATTTATTTAGTACAAACATATTCTGGGCTGATCCTTGATTTAAGATCTAGCTCAAGGGGTTAAAAGTGACAAATTAAACACAACCACAAATTGTCATTTTCTTAAATGTGTTTGATGCTATTGTTAATGTTGACTGTGTCAATTGGGATAAGTTGTCTTGATTGATTTAATCAGTTGTCTTTCCTGGTATACTGACAACGAGATTGCCTAAGAGTCATTAGAGGCTCACAGCCTAAGAAGTCCAGCTATACTGGAAGATACCTCTGAGAAGCAATCAAACCAAAGGGTTCTAAATACAAGGATTAAAAATACTCACAATAAGCAATATTGAAGTATCAACCCAGGCATTAAAACACAAAACCAAACCAACAATAAAATTAGAAAGGAGAAGACACCTAAACAAGGTGCAAACCTAGACTTCTAGCTCACCACAAGCTAATTCTGGGAGCAATGAGGTGGAAAGGTCTGACAATCAACCACCTGGCCATCCTTAACTGATAGCACAGGAAGTGACAAAATGGATGAATGAGGCTCTTGGAAAATTCAAATCAGAAATAATTTCCCAAATAACTACAGAGATGGTGAGTAGAATAAAAAACATAATTATAGACTCTACAAGAGAAACAGACAAAAAAGATGAGCTCAGGGCCATGATGGAAGCCATTAATGCCCAACATAGGAAAGAAATGGAATCCATGAAACAGGTTCCAACACATATCTGGGAGATTAAAAGCTCCACTGAAAGTATTCACAGGAGATTGAGCCAATGTGAAGATAGAATATCAGATATAGAAGACAGGATTGCATTTGGTGACCATGAAGAGAGATTTCTTAAAAATAGTAAGGGACCATGAAAAATCGATACAGCAGTTACTAAATGATACAAAGAAGAATAACGTAAGACTGACAGGAGTTCACAAAAAAGCAGGAGAAAGTACAAATGACATATAAAAACTTGACAGAAATAAAGCGGAAGATTTCCCAGAGAGGAAAATAATTTGACCTACAGATAATTGAGGCATGTAGAAATCCAACTAGCCATGGTAAAAAAAAAAAATCTATACCTAGACATATAATAGTCAAGATCCCAGAAACCCAATGAAGAAAAAACCCTACAAGCAGTTAGAGAAAAGAAACAAAGCACATACAAAGGAAAGGCCATCGGGATCACAGCAGACTTTTCAACACAAACCCTCAAGTCAAGGAGAACCTGGAGAGAAGTACTTCAAGCCCTAAAAAAAAAATAAAATAAACTCCAACCTAGAGTGTTGTATCAGGCAAAATTATCTTTCAAAATCAATGGGGATATTAGATGTTTTCACGAAAAACAACACCTGAGAAACTTCAAACCAAAGAGGATATAAGAAAATGGAAAGACATGCCCCCATTCCTGGGTAGGAATAGCCAATATAGTGAAAACAGCTATACTTCTAAATCTGTTATATAGATTCAATGCAATCCTGATTAAAATCCCATCAGTATATTTCACAGAACTAGAGAAAACAATCCAAAAATTCATTTGTAACCAGAAGACACCTAGAATACCAAAAGCAATTCTAGGCAAAAGAGACATGACAGTGGGTATCACAATCCCCAACTTGAAACCACACTACAAAGCCACTGTGATAAAAACAGCATGGTACTGGCAAAGAAACAGACCTGATAGTCAGTGGAACCCATTACAAGATGCAGAAACAACTCCATACATACTTGGCCACCTCATCTTTGACAAAGGAGCCAACCATCCTCACAGGAGGAAAGATAACCTATTTAATAAATGGTTTGGGAAAACTGGATTTCAACCTGCCAAAGATTAAAACTAGACCCCTATCTTTCACCATGCACTAAAATCCAAGTGGACTGAAGATCTAAATATTAAAACAGAAACACTAAACTTGCTGGAACATAAGTTAGGTAGAACTCTTCAAGACACTGGCATAGGAAAAGACTATGAACAAAACCTCAGTAGCATGGGAATGGGCACAAACAACAACTGCCATCTCATCTTATTAAAAAGCTTCTGCACTGCAAGAGAAACCTATCAGTAGAGGTAAGACAACCTACAATATGGGGGGAAAATTTATCAGCTGTTCCTCAGACAAAGGACTACTATCTAGAATATATATAAAGAACTCAAAAAAAATCAGACCCCCCTAATATAAAGATCCAATTAAAAAATGGGCTTGAAATGAACAGACATTTCTTAGACAAAGAAGTAAAAGCAAATAAACATATGAAAAAATGTTCAACATCACTGGTTATTTGAGAGATGCAGATGAAAATAACAGTGAGATTCCATCTCTCCCAGAAAGAATGGCCGCTATCAAGGAATCAACCAATAACAAATGCAGGCAGGGTTGTAGGGGAAAAAAAGCCTTTTCCATTGGTGGTGGGAGTACAGACTGGTGCAACCACTGTGGAAATCAATATGGAGATACCATAAAAAACTAGAGTTCCCATTTGACCAGGCTATTCCTCTGCTGGGCATCTTCCCAAAAGAATTAAAAGAATCATACCACAGGGATACATGTACACCCATGTTTATAGCAGCACAGTTTGTAATAGCTAATGCTTGGAAACAGCTCTACTGTCCACCAATTGGAGACTGGATATAGATGTTTTTGTTTTGGGTTTTTTTTTTTTTTAATATAGACTGGAGTACTACTCACCCATAAAGAATGAGAAACAAGAGAAATTTATAGCTAAATGAATGAGGACATACTCTTAAGTGAAATAAATAGGACACTCATGTGAAATTACAGAATAGTTTCTCTAGTATGAGAAACTGAAAGTATAAATAATGATTAAAATGAATAATTGATCATGTGAAATAGGAAGAAAAGGTCCAAAGGGATAGGGGAAGTGAGAGGGGTAGGGGAATGAAAAGAAGGGAAAGGAAAAAATATGAGAAAAGGAAATAATGGAAACAAAGTCTTCATAAATAGGGAGGGGTGGAAGAGTTGAAGGTAGAGAAGGGGAATGGGAAAAAAATAAGAACCAAGACATATCAGGTAAATGTACAAGTTCCCAATGATGAATTTAAATGTATTGTATACCTAAAATGTATCAATAAAAGAATTCAAGAATTTAAAAAAAATAACAGCAACTGTGGGCAGCAGGATTTTGCCTGTCTTATGGCTTATGCAAAACAAATATAAATTATAAAATAAGGACTTCAAGTGTAGCTCAATTGTAGGGCAACTGATTAGCATGGGAGACTAGGTTCAATCCTCAGCATCACAAAATAAATAGAAATAAAATTACAAAATGGTACCACGATGATTAAATGTTTCTTTGTCACTGAAATTTATCATAACTTTCTATATTCTCTATAACTTTCATGAAGTAGTAACCACTTCAGCTGAAAGCTAGTAACTGCACTTATTTTAAACTTTTTTCTAGAAAAGGTTTATCTCCAGAGTGACATAAATTTATTCTAAAAGCTAATTTTTTAATCCTCATTACCCTGTAGCTTTATTTCCTTTAGGAATTAAACAAAAAATAACTTATCTATATGAAAAATTAAAGAAGTTGGCCTGCCATACCTAAAGATTCAGCAGCCACTGATTCAACCAACCTCAAGGTGAAAACACAATTAGGCTTAAAATGTTTGCATTTGCACTGAACATGAACACTTTTTTCTTGTCATCATTCCCTAAACAATAAAGTAAAACAACTATTTACATAGTACTCATGTTGTAATAGGTATTATAAATAATCTAGATATTATTTAAAGTATATAATCCACATATTCTCTACAAACATTTGTGCCATTTTATATAAGGGATCATCCTTAGATTTTGGTATCTCCAGTAGTGCTAGAAGCAATACCCCACAGATACTATGTATATGATGATGATATGGATTTTCTGGCACCATATTTGATTATTAATCACTGTTACTTGTTACATTTTAATGAAACAACCACTTAACATGTCCAGATAATCAGGAAATAGCTATTGATGAATCTGCAAAGACACAATATAAAACTCAAGCTCTTAATGTCTTCAGCAACTAGTGCAGTATACAAATAAAAGTAAGAACTGGTAGGGATTCAACTTATTTTTCACATATCCCAGATTTAATATAACATCTATAGCTGTCCCAATTATTTTAAATTACTTCATAAAAAACTTAATATAGACATTGATATTAAAAGGAAAATAAAAATTATTGTAAGAAGACGGTGGTTGCACTGTTTCTATGTTAACAAGCAAAAACTACTGATAATTCTAGAAAGAGCTTAAAATTTATAGAAAATATTCTTACCTAACTAATCTCTACTACTCTTTCAAAAACTGCCTAAATTTTCAACTGCAAAAAGAAAATAGTAAAGTAAACTCTATATATCCACAAATGTATGATTTTCTAATTGAGATCTACCATTCCTATCCTACTATGAATTCAGAAAGGAGGTTCTCAGAACACAGTGGTCACTCAAAGAAACACTGATGAATAATGAAAAAAAACAAGACTTGTATTGGGTTATTATTTTAATAAAATAAATTACTATATCCACTGAAAAGCTCAATTTACTCAGCAACATGGAGGTATATTTCTAAAATAACCTCACTTTGGCAAGCTCATTGATAACATGTACAGGTTTTTATTTTTTTCCTTATTATGGATATTGGTAAGTCCTCCCTTAAATTGCAAGATAAAGCTTTCCTTTCCAGTGTAATGTCAAAGAATTTAAGTACCAAAAAATACTTATTTAGTACTTAAGTAGAATGAATTTAAACACTGAAACAATATTTTTATGACAATCCATCAGGTACACTATAACATAATTATTCATAGTAGCTTTTATAGTTGAGGATAGCTGGCATGCTCTCATGAAATTAATCAAGGAAATGAATGTAAAGTCACTGATGTAGGATTGGTAGAAAATTCTTAAGTACATATTACTGTAACATGAGAAGAATCAACAATAATAAATAATATCTGAAATAATTAGTGTTGAAGACATATTACAACTTGAGAGGATGTAAGGAAAAAAAGAAAATTGGTCACTGTTACACAATACAGTTAAGTATTCCATAAGATCTGTAAGTCCAAGTATAACCCTGATTTAGTTAATTCCTCACACTAGCTGGGCCATGGCTGAGATTAGGTCATCTCTTTATGGCAGCACTTATCACAAATGTTCACAAATATCCTCTGCTTTTTGTCTGGGCTTGGATTTCAAAGAGAACTTAAAATGTACTCAAAAATTACATACCTGTAATTTTGGACTGTGCCTCAAATCCTTTCATGGAAAAAAAGAAATCACCAAGATGAAAGCAAGATGAAAGTTTTTACCTATTTAAGTTAAAGTCTGCTGGAGCCCAGAGTACATGACAAGAACTCTGAAGTCCATCACGGCCAGCTCTACCAATTTCCTGGTAATATGATTCCATTTCCTTAGGTGCACCATAATGAATGACTTTGCGAACATCAGATTTATTAATGCCCATTCCAAAAGCTATAGTGGCTATGACACACTGAAAATAAATAACAACACAGTTTGACAAACTAAATACAGAATTAAAACTTTCAAAAATTTGATATTTTCCCTCAAGTCTCTGGCATAAAATTGAATTTAATATAATTTAACCAGTCATTTACGGATTAAAAAGTTATCTGCCTGATTTACAGATTAAGGATTGCTGAACACAAAGTGAGATTTTTATTCACTCTCTAGAAAAAGTAGCAAATAAAGGGGTCTCTCTGAACATTTTGTCAATATGTAATAAAAAAGGTTCTTAAAATATGTATTGTATTAAATCAAATTAAACTTTTATATTACTATGAAGTTTTAAGGGTCAAATCTGCAAATATCTTATTCTAATATTCTTAGATGGAAGTTTCTCAATATTGATGGTACAGTGAAACATGTTTATCTCTGCATATTTAGGCAGCTGAAACTGACAAACTACCTAATAGATATGAATATATAGAGATACGATTTACACAATTGGGGAAAGATTAAGGAAGAACTAGTGATAAGTACACAGAAAAAAAATTTAAAACCTTATCAAGTATTAACAAGAATACAAAAAGGCAAGCAAAGTAATCATAATGCACCTCACTGTTTAAAGGTAAAAAGCATTTACAGCCAGGGATTTAGCTCAATGGCACTATGCCTGCCTGGCAAGCACTAAGTACTGAGTTCAATTCCCAGTACCCAGAGGGGGAAAAAATTTATAAATTGTGTAAATCTTGTACATGCATCTAATCAAATTATGATATAAATACATTGAGAGGAAAGAAGGTGAGAAATGTATGGACTGGGTGAGGAAAAGGAAAGCACAGAATGTGAAAGAGAGCTAAACCACCATCTTGCACAGTGTAGAGCCAATAAATAATGTCTATGATTAGTAAAAAATTAAGAGATAGTGGTATGTATAAAGTATGGCAAGATACAACAGTGAACACCTAAAGACAGAGAGTTAGAAGTGGAAAACAGAAGTTGTGATGGAATGAGGGGCTAATGGTTTTCACTGAAAACATGGCAGAACTAATTTGATAAAAACTAAAGTTCTATTTTGAAAAAGAGGCATGCTAAGATGAACTAGGACAACAAAAAAAGAGGAAAGAAAGAAAAGGATAAATGAGACAAAAAGAAGAAAGATGATGGACAATTAAAAGATTCATGAAAGATGAGAAAATTACATGTATGAATATAAGTAAAAGAAGAAGTCTACGCAATTTTGCTTTACCTAAGTATCAGTAAACAACACAATAATTCTAATCATATTATTTTTAGATGAGCTCAAATCCCGACTTTATTTTCAAAATATCCCTACAAAATTTCAGGTACAAATAAAAATACTTTATCAATAAGTTATTCATAACTTCAGAAGGAAATAAATTTAAGAAATCTTGATAGGGCAAATGAGAATATAAAAGGATACAAAACTAAGGATTAAATGCAAGAATGAATGGTCAAACTAAAAATGTTACTGTACACTTAAATGTGGTTGAATTTGATTATACTAAGGAAATAAATGTCTTTTTTAATTATAAGATGAAAAACATTAATTTTCTAAGTATCAATGAGATTTCATTAAGAGTTCATTAAGAGATGAGACTACTTTTAGGCTCACATTGAAGTATAAATCAATTGTAAAAAAACGGGAAAGTGAATATTTAGAATTCAGTACATTTATGCAATCAGTATTCAATAAATAATACAAGCACTCAATTCCAAGAACACCAGGCTACTGTATAAAGACAATGAAATATATTTTCATTTTCATCATCTTGAAAAAATGTTTGAGAACTTTCAATGCAATTATGAAGCTTTTCAGCCATTTAAAAAAACAAAGAGGGGCCAGGGATTTAGCTCAGTGGTTCTGCAGCCTGCTTAGCCTACTTTGCAAGCACAAGGCCCAGAGTTTGATCCCTGGTACAAAGAAAAAAAAAAAAAA